GTGCTAATTCCTTCACTGTGATGTGTACGGAGGACCATGATACTGGCCATTGCACCTGAAACCATGCCCCCTCAGATGAGAATCTCCTCCTCCCCACGACCCTGAAGTATCCGAAGTGAGGGTTATGTCCGCTCTTCCCCGCCGCAAAGTTGACATCATCGAAACCCCGTTCCATACTCCCAAGAAGGTATCCCACCACAGTAGATCTGATTGTGCCGCCCTATTGAGATAAATGTGGTGGTGCAACTGCTTTGCCACGGTGGATAGGTCAATTAAGCGCCGTAGGAAAGGGCGCCCAACCCTCACCACTCTGTAGGCGTGTTGTAGTTGGCCAATCAGCGAGAGAAGCTGGCACTTCTGGCACCTCTTACGCCCCCCTTCCAATCCCTTACTAAGGCTTGCAGGCGTCGGAGCTTCCCTTCTGGTAAGTGTACCTCCATCCTCTCAGTGTCCAGAAGAATACCGAGGAAGCAGAGACTAGTAGATGGGCCGTCCGTTTTTGGGGTGCTACTGACACTCCGCGAGTAGGCAACACACGTCAAGGCAGAGTGCAGGCTCCGCCCGCACTTCTCAGAGCCCGGCGGCCCCAGGAGTAAAAAAATCGTCCAAATAGTGCATTCCTGTCTCCAAGCCGTGGGCGCCCATGACCCACAGCAATGCGTCGGCCACTGCCGTGAACAACTTCGGGGCAGAGCGCAACTCGAACAGTAGTGCCCCATCGACGAACACTCTTCCCGCTTCCCCGTCCCATTTCAACCCCAAGTAAAGGCAGTCCACCGGATGTTTTATACGCGGCACCACGGGGCGATAGCGCTCTCTTAAAGTCAAATTTTGCGAGCAGCGCACACCTCGGCCGTGCTGGCCAACAGTCTCCACTTCTGCGTCATCCACCCGCGAGGCGATGTCGAGGAGGCACAGAAGAGTGTCACCCCATCATTCACCGCTCGCCACCGGCTCGCGCCGATACGTCGTAATAAGGCACCATTTTCCGGGTTGATGCGCTTTGTATGACATCTCCTCTACACTGGCTGATCTGGCACTATTAGCGACTGTACTGTATCGGGCTTGCCTAGCACGGCCGATATACGTCCCGCCACAGACTCGGCAGCTATATATTTTTAGATCGGCTCTGGGTGCTGATTACAGACACCATGTTGCGCCCGCAGCTTCCTACACGAGTGTCGAAGAGTGATCGTACCTGATATTGTTTGAATTTTGAGTGATTTTTTATTTGATTTTGTGATTTGTCTGATGAAAGATTGATTTAAAATTATGATGTTACCTGATATTATCGGTACTGGAAGAAACAAAATTGAACACTTTTTTTTCTTACCTTTTTTCATCTTTTTTATTTGTTATTTCTTTTCATTGACACACCTTATCCATTTTAATTTACAACTGTAACCTTCTTTTTTATCCACACGATTATCCTTTATATTCTTTCCGTGTATTTCACAGTGTTTTTTTCCCGTGCTTTTCACTTGAAATTTTCATTTACTTTGTTTTTTTTTTTCCCAAGTCCCTTGCTCCCTTTATTCTTCCTCCTTTAAGTCTCCCTTCTCTATCTGTATTTCCTTGTTTTCTCCCTCTTACTTCCCGTTCTTCTCCTGCGCTTCGCATCCCTCTTCGTCCTCCTTATTTCTTCCTTTAGGTGGGGTTTTCCATGTTTTTGCTTTATTGGTTCTATAATGCCGGTTTAGAGTTTAGAGCAGTGTCGGGGTGTGGGTTGGGAGTTTATGTTACCTGTTTGGTCCTTTCATTTTTTCTTATTCCCCCTTTCTGGAATCACCTGATATTTTACCTGATTGATGCAGAAAAGCGTCCCTGATCCCCCCGACGATCAGCTGAACAACTCTCAGTCCAGGGTGGCCCCGTATTTCGCTCTCTCCCCCCACCCCACCCCCACCACCCCCCTCTCCCCCCAGCACACCCTCCCCCCCCCCCCACACGACAACGACCCTATGGAAGAGCGGAGACCGGGCCAAAGAGTCGATCGCAGGCGTGCAGCGGAGGGGGGTGGCGATGACCGACAGCGCCGGCGGGATGGTGGAAGCGACCGCTGGCCTCAGCTGGCTGAGCCTCCGGAGGTCATCCGTATATATGTAGGGCCAGTCTAACACCTCTTTGCCGGCCGCCCCCTTCTCCGATCCTGAAAATTGAGTAGACAGGGCTCATTCGGCGCATGCGCCACTGGTTCTAACCCACCCATCGCAAGTACGATTATAGGTGACCACCACTTTTATATTTTCCAAATCATAATATTTCTCTGAGCAGAGCTTTATGGCTCTCGTGTACAGTTCCTCTCTCCGCGTCCTGACCTCAAGGGGCCTCACCCGACGCCTTGCTGTCTTTGTCCCGGCTCGGACGCTTATCCCCAGCACGATACACCATCATGCATCAATTATAGACAGTGTCCTCATTTCCACCAAAGCCCCACAGTTTGCCCCAACTCCTGCAAACCACGTTCGTATCACTGAAGCAGCCTAAGAAACGATGTGTCCAAAACCGTAGCCACGCCCCCTGGGCGGAAGAACATCACAACAATTACGTCTCTACCCCATCTCGCATCACACCAACCAATTATGCGACTTAGGGACAGTGTCCCCATTTCTGCCAAACCCCCACAGTTTGCCCCAACACCAGCAAACAAACTGAACTAAGCCAAACAAATGATAATTAATTGCCTGTGACCTAAACCGTAACCATGCCCCCTGGGCGGAAGCACATCACGTCATTACGTCATCACGTATCACACCAAACAATTATGCAACAGGCCCGAGGCCCTAGCCCTACTTAGTCCAACACTTTAGTAGCAGCTGGCCCTAGAACCTAGCCCTACTTAGTCCAACACTTTAGTTGCAGCTGGCCCTAGGCCTAAGCCCTACTTTTTCTAGCCCCTAGCCCTACTTAGTCCTAGCCCTACTTAAGTATCGATGCCCTAGCCCTACTTACCTCATTGCGGACGGATGTCACAGCGTATGTGACAGGAATTACCCCTCCGTACGGACGTATGTCACAGACGCTGTGACATGCAAATGCTCTGCGTTTACTTAGCTCTCGCGCATCTCTTGCAGCCAGCCACACCTCAATGCTACACCCAACTACAACTGGGAAACCCCCTGGAGTACTTCAGTGCCGGTAGGCAACATTCTTGTGGCTGCTAAAAGAACGCAAACAACCCGCACCCGCAGCTTTTAAAGTGACAAACACCATCTTATACATCAGGTATAGAGTACTGCATCGTTCACCGGACACCACTCTTTATCGGACACCTTCGAATTATCGGACCGTAATGTCTTGCATACCTACAACTCACTGCAAGGGCAAGGCGAGTTACATGCCGTAAGTTCGTCCCTTCGGGAACTAGCATCCGCGTAATTTTACCTCAAATGCGCATGTGCAATCATTTTAAGCACGTGGGCGGAGTCTTTGTGCATAATTGCGGCGGTTTGCGCACAGCCGTACGACGCGGTACTGACGTGTTCTGCTGTGTGGAGGTTTTCTCGGTACATAACATTGTCTCCGTTGTCTCTTTAGCTCTAAAATCAAGCACTGTCCGAACATCGGGGCCACATTTGTGACAGTAGTTGAGCGCTTTCATGCTCCAACTGACTTCCATGTCCTGCAAGAGACGGTAAAAGAGTAAACTCGACAGAGTAGCGTAGGTATAGATATTTAGGACACATGCAAGTACTCTTGTATGACTGTGCTAAGCCTAGATGTCGAAATATGGCCTCTACTAGAGAGAAAACTGTGCTGTGCACCGCAGAAGCACACACTATCGATCGCACTACATGTATTTTCTCTCTCCCGTATCGCTGCTGTTTTACTTGCAGTGAGTATTTAGATCTCATCTACTGTCCATAGAGCCTTTTCTCAACTTCTTATGTACCATATTTTGTGAGCCAGCTGATCCTAAAAAGAACAGGTCAGGGGTCAAAGCTTTAGTCTTCAAAACGGGCCGCTTTACGCAGCGAAAACACACACCCATGCACGTATTTACCTATGGTACTGTCCCAGCATCACTTTTCTCTCGATCTGCATCTGCAACAAGTCTCTGTGCTATATAGCTATAAGGCAACAAACTCCAGAGAGAATGACACGAAGCGTCTTCCCCAGAAAAAACTGCTGACCGTGCAATACATTTCACGCATGTGCGCGTCGTCCGCTAAGCGCTAATAAACGTGGAAAAGTCAGCTTATCTTCAAAGAACATTTATATAGCCTTAGCTAACATAACTTTTCCTTAAATTTAAAGAAAAACATAAAACCTTTGTATTCTCTATGTAGTTTCAAATTTCATTTTTCCCTTTCAATTGCTTCATCATAAGATATACATTCTCCCACATATTCACAAACAAGTTCTCCTTTCTTGATTGCCTTTTCCCCCACCACAACTCCCTTCCCTTTTCCAGCGATGTCTGCAACCTGAAGGTGGGTGTTATTGTGATTTATTGTACTCTTTACTTCTTTAAACAAACCGGGAGGTTGCTTGTGTCTTGTTTCTTCCAACACAGCTGTATCTCTTGCCTATAAACAATGCAGCCATTGACTACAGGTTAATGTGTATGCGTGTGTTTATATTATTACAAACCACCACTACGAAAACCCAATGAAGGTGGGTGTCCTGTCCTACAATAATACTTAGATCCTAGATGGGAGTTGTTATGTACATACGTACCCATTCACCTTACACAACTCATTTACCCCTACATGTATGTTATGTGATAAAAACCTGGATCTGACTTTTGACGACTCTTTGTTTTGACTTTCTGTTGCATATGAACATCAAAAGACATGAAACATTAAAATTAGATTTAAGTGAGATTACCTGGCAGTCACTTTTGAATGGTTACAACATTCAACCAGTATCGATTTCCTTAGTGATTCAGCATTTAATGAAGTATTTAACATTGTACTGTTCGTTATGAGAGTGTTGGATTGAGATGAGACCTAGATGTTTTAAATGTGACAAATTTAGAGTATCAGCGACATAACATGTCACACCTTTACAATGGTTCGAATGTGGTGCATAACATGAATCCCACAATCGACTCCAGATGTCTGCATTGGAACCTATGTATGTGTATACACACATAGGTGTGAGGTTCATACATAATGTTATTAGTACCAATATTACTTCATATGCAACTGGTTTCAGTGAAATATTTGGTACCCAGCACTGCAGCAGGGTGTTAAGAGCTGCAACTGCCTCACAACTTGTAGGTGTCAAGGTGCGTGGGGACATAGAATCCAACACAAATGCACTGTAATGTAATTACATTATGTCAATACAAAATACATCGTTCAATACCAACATTTGTTGTTTTTTGTATACAACAATCAGAATCCAGTGCCAGATACTCCTTTAAAATAATAACAGGTGAAAGTGAAAATGAAAATTTAAATTCTATACCGGATGCAACAGGGGAAAAGTAGTGGGTGCTCAGAAGTGAAATCCATTGGCCCATTAGTGTTGATAAACTTCTTTTTCAGCTCACTAGACTCCTGCTTTAATGAATCCACTACTGCGGTGTAGCTGAGTGCGCTAGCTACCATATCTGGGGCGTTCTTAGGTAGCAAAATCCTGTCCATAATTGGTTGTCCAACAAGTGCTTGATAAAGAAAGTCCTTACCGAACAAAGAAGTCTATAACAGCGTCAGATATCCCTCTGTTAGGCCAGAGAGTCATGATGTCATTCATAAAAAGAATGCTTCTCCTCTTCCCCCTCATACAAGAGACTACTCTGTATAACATGTTTTATGAGTCAAATATCTATACCATTTGCTAACTAAAACATACTCAAAACTTTCTTCTTTTGTGTGTGCTTCACAGCAGCAAAATCTTGTTTTTTCACCAAAATATTCGACATCACCTCCATTACAACTAGTATGGTACCACTTAGAGCATGAATCATCACTACTTGTCGTAATACCAGTAGCGGCACAGAAAAAACAAATACCATACTGAATGCTTTCGCGTACAAAAGTTGTCCTTTCCTCGGGTATGGCTTTAACATTAGATTCTCCTGTGAATCAAAACCATCACCAAATGCATACCTTTAATTAAAGTAAAACTTACTTTTGGTAAGTAATGGTATAATATGGTTTAATGTGGATGATTGTGGGTCAGTTGTCACCCACATGACATCTAACATTCCTTTTACATCTGTGCAACCACAAGGAAATATGGTTGTGTCATATCCATCCCGACGTAGCTCAGTGTGCTGCCTAATAGCAAATTTAGTAGCTCCGGCAACAAAGAGCATTTGAAGTATCCCTTTATGCAATATATAAACCAACTTAAAGTACACAAAATGATACATATGCTGAAATTCTGTACCAGAATAGCAACCAATTTTGCAGTAGCCATGATCTCTGCCACAAGTGTGTACTTCAGTATGTCTTCAGTTGTGCCCTCATGAGGATGATTAGCATACTCCAAATCAGTAGATGTTGTGGGCAAAAATTGCTGTGCATCTCTTTTGTACATATTTCTGCTTTGAGCTAAATATTTACAGCAAAAAATCAGTGGAATATTTAAGTGAAAGCAGTGTTATACTAACCATTTCAAGGATATGGTCATAATGAATAATTGCATGGTGAACTGCAGCAAATCGCAAATCCATTTGGTGGCTCTCACTCCCAATACTAGCTGAACAAAACAGACAGTCGCCTACTAATGAAGCTCTACACGGTGCATATTCTTGTGGTAGCTTATCACTAATAGTGTGCTTTCTCCTGTAACACAAGAAAAATTAAGTTTTAAAACTGGTATTTAGCTTATGTTTCCTACCGCCAATCTATCAAATCACTGGCTTCATCAATGTCTTTCAGCTCAGCTTCAGACAAAAAGAGGAGATCAACCTTCTCGCCTGCTCTTAGTGTGCGTGCTGAAAACTCATCCCAGCCACTGGCAGATGAGCACCATCTCAGCGCACTTTCTGCTGTCATCACCTTTACATGCATGGACCACATGGTAACACTAACACACATACGTCACACATGTACAACCTCGATAACAGGAGAACACTCGTCAGGACCTACATAATGCCAAAAACAATTAGATTGTGGTAGAGAATTGTCAAAACTACCTTCTGCTTCTTCATCATCCTCTGACCCAGAAAACAAGCTTGGTGTCTTGGCATGTGTCACAGCTGTTGGTTCCAATAGTAATTGTACACTAATTGTACACAAAACCTACATACATGTGTGTTTCTGCTGACTGCTACTGCTGCTGTGAAACATGTAATACATAAGTGAGAAGGACTATATTAATAACACTGGTTTATGTACATGTTGTAGTAGTCAGTACAATTGTCAAAAAAGCACTGTAAAATAATTCTCATCTCAGCTGCTGTCATTCGTTTCTCTCCACCTGTACATTAACTAAATTAAGAATTGTACATCTACTGAGGAGGATGATTCTTACGTTTAGGGTGATTTGGTCTCCGAAACCTGACTCTAGACACGATGGGCAGTTCTCTGGCTGGTCATAAAAGTTGTTTCTTTTTTCTAAATAGCAGTAAGTAGTAATATAATCTGTAGTAGTAGTGTACATATTACATACCAAGTGGATTGAGGATTCTTGGAATAACTTTAGCTAATACATCATTCCTAAAATCTCGTGGGTCCGATGAAGAAAACACTAATGTATGTTCTCGTAAGACTTCATTATACGTCAAACATCGATTGGGCACTTTCCCTGCATGTATAATATGATAGATTTACGTTTTCCATGTGACAGCTTACTTTTACAATCACCATCATTATCAAAATTTTGACTTAGTGCTGCTTCCTTGAATAGGTTTACGGAGCATTCATTACATACATACTTTTACATATGTACGTATGTACGTAGCATAATGATTCACCTTCCCAAATTATTTCCTGATGTCCCTTTACACTCCTCCAATATAAAAAACAGAATGTTGGTTGGTAAGGATACGTCCTAGCCACCCAGTTTTTGCACTAGTAATTCGAATGAATTACAAAATTTCAAGATGTGTATAACACCTTCTTTTGAATCTGGCACCAGTGGCATGAGTTGATCTTTCTAACCTAAAAGGGGGGAGGGTGGGGGTTGTTAGTTGGTTGTGTAATATTGCATTGTCATACTTTTTTCTGTTGGTGAGATGGTAGACATACTTTCCCATTACTATCACCATCATCTCTATTTGAACTAGCTTCTTTTCCATCTCCCTGTTCAGTGACATAATCCCCTTACTTCAATCAGTCTTCACGAGCCAGATTAGGGTGATGAGCCTCTCCACTCAACTCCTCCCTTTCATTTACATCACTCACCCTCTCTCCTTCATCTGATTTACACTTTTTGGTCTTGCCATCGCAGAAATTCTCCTTCGACCGCTTCATTTCTTTCCTGAGACCCCAAATCTGAGGGCACAGTAGCCAAACCAAGTGGCTAAAGGGTTACCAGTGACCTCTGCATGGGGAGAGGCTAGGAAACCACAAGGCACTTTTAAAACCCAAAAACAATATCCTTGTGATGTAACAAGTGGTAATATGATCCTGGGAACTATGCAGTGAGTAGTAATGTTCATGCAAGGTAGTTAAACCCTTAGGCCAGCCATGGGCATATATATATATATATATATATGCCCGGAGCTTCCATAAGTCCATAAGATTTATATATGGCTGTAATACTAGGCGTTGATATGTTATACATCAATTTCTGCTTTTTAAGGAGATATATACCCATAGCGTCCAAAGGGGTAAACGAAATACTACTGTCCTACTCTGGTCTCTCATCAGCACACACAAAGTAACTTTATTGTCCAAGTGTCAACCTTATGTTCAATGTATGAAGCAGTAATTAGTACGTTCCTTAGGTCCTTTAGCTCCAATGATGAATGCGGTTTCATCTAATGAACTAATGGTTTGGATATGAAACAGACTTTCTGTGTGCCAATGAGAGACGATTAAACTGTCCTAGTTTCAACCTTAATGTTTCATGTATGAAGCAGTAATTAGTACGGTTTTCCTTAGGTGTTTAGCTCCAAGGATGATGCGGCGTTTCATCTAATGAACTAAATGGATTGGATATGAAACAGACTTTGTGTGTGCCGATGAGAGCCGATTAAACTGTCCTAGTTTGAAACTTAATCTTCAATGTATGAAAGCAAGTAATTAGTAGCGGTTCCTTAGGTCATCATGACTGCGGTTTCATCTAATGGACTAAATGGGTTGGAAATGAAACAGACTTTGGGTGTGCCGATGAGAGACGATTAAACTGTCCTAGTTTCAACTTAATGTTCAATGTATGAAGCAGTAATTAGTACGGTACCTTAGGTCTTTAGCTCCAACGATGAATGCGGTTTCATCTAATGAACTAAATGGTTTGGATATGAAACCGACTTTGTGTGTGCCAATGAGAGACGATTATCCTAGTTTCAACCTTAAAGTTCAATGTATGAAGCAGTAATTAGTACGGTTCTTTAGATCTTTAGCTCCAACGATGAATGCGGTTTCACTAAATGGTTTGGATATGAAATAGACTTTGTGTGTGCCAATGAGAGACGATTAAACTGTCCTAGTTTCAACCTTAATGTTCAATGTATGAAGCAGTAATTAGTACGGTTCCTTAGGTGTTTAGCTCCAATGATGAATGCGGTTTCATCTAATGGAACTAAATGGATTGGATATGAAACAGACTCTGTGTGTGCCAATGAGAGATGATTAAAGTGTCCTAGTTTCAACCTTAATGTTCAATGTATGAAGCAGTAATTAGTACGGTTCTTTAGATCTTTAGCTCCAACGATGAATGTTATATTATCAGAAGTTGAAAAGAAGACAGTAGCGTTGCTCCTCCGTCGAATCTGCCTCCTGTTGAAGCAAGCAATATTGTGGCGTACTAGCTTCCTTGCTGCAGAGATGCAAACAAAAAAAACACAGCAAGTCATTGTGCATCACAATACTAGAGCTGCCAACTGTACAGGCAACTGTCAGTAAAAACCTCAAGAAATATCTGTATAAAGTACCGTATAAACTAGTGAGCATACATGCATCGATGCAGAACTCGATCCGGTACGAGCCACGAGCAAAGGTTTATGTCTCTAGGTATGAGGTAGAGCTATCTCTCCGAGTGTATAATCAAGTAAAAAATACGGAGAATACATGTGGTTGGCAGCACTGCAATAAATCATAATATATTGTGGATCAGTCGAACGGTACACAGAGTCACACAACATTGCAGAGTGAACAACAAGCTGATGTTTACCACTTGTAAAGGCTGGAATATTCAGATATTCTTGCATCATGCCAATGCCAACACTGTCACAGTGTCGAAGCCTCAATAAGCCAGGACTATGTCCCCAGGTAGCAGATGCGGAGGATACCACACGACTCAGTAATCTGCGAATCCCGTGCTTGCACTGTCTCCCACCTTTCCT